TCTGCGTTGCGTAATTATATCCGGAGGACCATGTTCGGTTGGTCAGCAGGCATTTATTGGAGGCGCCGACATCTCGGAGATGAAGGATTTTTCCAACGCCGAAGCTGGCCGGACGTTTATTAATAAGCTCCATTTGGCTTGCAAAGCGCTGCGGGACTTGCCCGTCCCGGTCATTGCTCGTGTCAATGGGCATGCTCTCGGCGGTGGCCTGGTCGTGATGGCCTCGGCAGACTTGCGCATTGCTACGTCGGACGCTCGTTTTGGGATGCCTGAAGTGCAACGAGGTGTGCCCAGCACAATTGAAGCAGCGATGCTACCTGCGCAGATTGGCGCCGCGAGGGCGCGGAGGCTTCTGCTCCTGGGCGACACGATCTCAGCCCAGGAGGCAGAATCTTGGGGTCTGGTCGACAAGGTCGTCCCAGCTGATCAGCTGGACGAAGCCGTGGAAGAATGGGTAGACAGGCTGCTAAAGAACGGACCCCGTGCTCTGCGCATCCAGAAAAAGCTTTTTGCGATGTGGGAACAGGTTCCACTGAGAGAAGCAATCGAGGCAGGAGTATGGGAATTCGGCACACCTTTCGAGGCGGAAGGTTTCGAGGCAGAGGGCAGGAGGATGATGAATGAATTTCAGACGCAGAATAGAAAAAGGAAAAGTAGGCTCTGAACAGGAATTCTTACCCATCCCCTACCCGGAATAATGAAAAATTAAAATCGATAGCTCGATATTTCGATAGGCCGTGGCGTGGGTACTCTCTATCATTCACCTTTGGGGTGCCATTAACCGGAGAACTCTGCTAGTCTCTTGATTCCCACCAACGATAGATGATCGTCGATAGTGATTCCTGGTCCTAATCCGATTAATCTGGTAGTGAGGTGTGTGCCGAAAGCTCCCTCGAAGCTGTCTCTAGCCTGACTCAACCCGAACGTCGACTTACTCGATGCCGGGACGATCGAGACGAAAGTCAAGGGGGCAAAGAATCACTCCCATATACCGACGGCGGCAATGAGAACAACGCTGCTGATCTCTGATGACGAGGGTGAAGTCCCAGCCTGTGACCTGTAATATCCAAAGGTTGAATGGCAGAAGGAGCAGACTGACTCCTGGCGGATAGCAGAACAACGTCAACAGCATCGAATTAGAGGCTGCGGCAATAGAGAAAGGACTGCTAAGGGGATACGATTACATTAGCTTTCCGGAATGAGACCCAACTTCCTGGCATTGAAGTCTTTCTTTGGAAAAGGCCTATAGAGAAGGAAGGGTAAGAGTCGGTACGAGCATCGTAAACATCCCAAAGAACCAATCGCCAACCATGTCCGTTCGGGAAACCCGAGGAGATTAGGCCCGCTAGCCAATGATGCTCCCAGCCAACGTCGCTGCCGCAAACGGTCAGGTAGGGAAGTGTCGTCATGCTCAGCAGCGGGACTATTGCAGTGGCTCCAAGGCTGAGAGTTACCGGTGATTAGAGACCCTACGAAAGGCCACGGCAGGGTTGTGAGATGCACCGTTGTAGTGAGGTCTGGCTGTGACACGCCAGCGAGCTTGAACAGACAAAAGCACGAGTCTTTGCTGAATACATTGCGCTGTGCCATTTGTGCTGCATAAAAGCCAGTAAACAAGCGAAGCCACACCACTGACCATAACAACTTCAATCCTGTTCTGGTTCCTCCTGTTTAGAAGGAACGATGGCTTTTCGAGTGGGTCAAAAATCTGCTCTGAGCAGGTTAAAGTGTGGGGTCAGGTCTGCAAAAAGTGGGTCTTAGATAAAACAACCACTGAACAATCCCCGAATACCCCATGGCCTATATCTCTTATGAGACTGAGAACCTCAAGATGATGACGTTAATGGATAGTATTCGATTATTCTCCAAGGTGTCCATTCCTCTGTCCTTTCAGCGAGTTCTTTCCTGTTTATGTAGACATTTGGCCTGTGTCAGGAAAGCAATTCCTGAATGTTTCCTGTCCACGTCATCCATGGCGAGGTTGTCCTGATGCAAATGTGCATCTCGATTGCCCTGCCACAAAATTTCCCTTTCTCTTGGTGAGTCCTGAAGGTTCCCCATGGGGTCTGCCTGAGCTCTCTCACGGTCAACTCTCTCCTTCGCACCTCTCTTGTGTCCCGATCGAGTCATGTGCGGTGACTATGTCTTTGATGAGGTAGTTCTTTTGTTACGGTGTACCCTTTCAGACCTGCCGTTATTGGTGTTGGCATGTACTTGCCGGCCAGCCTTGGTACCATTACACATATCAAAACACCGAAACCCACCACACCTAAGCTTTCAATTTACGGAGCCAGCAATGTCTTTGGTCACCTTCGCTAACTTCTGGCGAACCGAGCGTACTTGAGAATGCCTTTTGTCCCACGGCCTGAAAGATGATCTCACTTCATTACGTCTTGCCTGTAAACCCTTAGCCCAAGACGTTGTTCCAACATTGCTCAGGCAGATCGAGATCGGCTTCTCAACCAATGCTTTTTGCGAAAGGCGCGAATGGTTGCCTTAGATCGGATCAGTAATCATGTGAAAGACGTCGCCTCAATAATGCCACATGCTACCGACACCCTCTGTCTTCACTCTCAGTTTCTAGAGCACTAGTAGAAATCATCTTCGTCTATGAGTCTCGTAACAACACGTCGAACTCGTCTACATCCTCCTCATCGAAATATAGCCCGTGGGAGACGAACGAACTCCTCGTCGACCAATAATCCCCATTATTTCTTGTGGCCACAAACGTCGAGTCTTTCTTCCGAACATTTTCCGCAATACCAAATTTGAAGGAATTGCGAATCTCCTGTCGAGATCAACCACCGGAACAGCGGTACCAGAGAAGCATGGTTGACTATATCTTAATTCCGTTGAGATTGGTGATTGAGGGTGTCAATACTACTAGGCTCGAGTCACTTGTTTTGGGGCCGACTCACCCGGCACCATATTCTACCGTCCATCCTCACATGATAATTGGCTCCTCCCCTATCTCTTCTCGTGTGTAGAAACGTCTCAAGGACTTGAGCATTGACATAGATAAGTTTTCAGTACGGCCAAGACCGACCGTCTGATCATCTGAAAATCCTTCATGGCTATCGACAGTAAAATGCAATGCTTAGGGAAATTGCGATCCGGTGGCTTGGCGGTAAGGGCCTACATCCGTTTTCCCTACATGTCGAGCCTTGCACCTCGCGGCTAACATGTCTGGATTGTGCTAAATCGTGTCTCGACTCCGGTACCAAATCACCTTTCCGGGCTCTCAAGTTCCGAAGGCTGAAGTCCCTATTTCTTTGTAAGATAAGTTTGGAGGTATGTCGAGCCTCTGCCTTTGCCACGTCACGCTGAAATGTATTATATAAATCTCAGTTCGATCGGTGCGACCCAAGATTATATACACGGGAGGATCCGCAGGCTCCATCATACCGCATCGTCGGCAACGACAATCGCAAACAGAAGGAAGAGGATGTCATGGATATTTCTATCATGCTTAGTATCTGTAGACCAGAAGTGTGTTGCAGATTGGCTCGAGGAGCCTTTGCGGGAAGATGTGCCCAGTAAGAGTAAGGCCTTGCAAAATCTCCTTAAGGTCAGCTTGAGGGCGAGAGGGCTGCTTCCTCAACGAGTCAGACGGCTGTTGAGGATAGCGAGGACTATGTATTGCGAATGTATTGCGAGGACAATTTTGCATGCTTCCAGAAGAACAACGAAGTGTGTCAATCGCAAAATGTTGCAGATCAATCAATATGTTGATTGAGTCGAAGACTGGTACTCTCGTGCTTAGAGGGGAAGGTTGGTGTGTTCGAAGTATCATCAAACTACTCTGAAGCACATCTCTGAATGCTATTATAGCAGGGCGCCAGGGGCGTGGGTAGAGCTCCGCCCAAAAGTTTCGATAGTCTGGAGCTCCATGCTCAATCCAAATGGGCTATAGCGGCAGTGGATGATGATAGAAAGATCTGAACCAGCGCCTCAATAAATATTATGAGGTTAAAAGGCTGGAATTTGGGCTCCATTCTGTCAAGAGACGGATCAGCTTTGTTGCAGGCACATACCGAACATTGAATATCCCGAACAGAGAGCTGAAATACGGCCCAAAAGATTTGCTCGACGTCGTGGTCCTGATCTATTACATCTTCGAGGAGTACACCTTTACAATACGGATGTGGACTACGGAGACTAACCGGGTCACTATGATAGTTTGCTAGCTTACTTCCCTCGGTCGAAGACGCGATGAGGCAGTCTACTAGTTCCCACAGCCGGAAACGATCTGCGGCTTCATCCAAGCAAAACGAATCCACTGAAACCTCGAACGCAAAAGCTGTTGCGCGACCATCTCTGTCACCATGAAGACTTACAGATGCAAACTTTGATGCATTTCAACAAACATATGTGAGGGATTCTGGCGAGACAACCCTTTTTCTACAGTGCTCCCCTTCGTTGCTGGACAGGAAATGAACCATCTGTTCGAGGCTAACCTCCCATTGAGTAATTCTGCAACTCTTGTTAAAGACCTGAGTGATTCCAAACCGGATGTGCGCCATGGAGCGGCACCGTCGGCCATCCATCCACGCGTCCGCGCTGACGTTGGCAAGTACATGATTCCATCAAAGGCTGACATTTGTCGTCCGGCTGCTCCCAATCTCTTTAGGAAGGGCAAAGTGCGCAAGGGTGGCCGGATATGGCAAAGAGACAAGCTCTAATTGATGAAGCAGTGGGTTGCCCGAGTCATGCACCAACTGCAGTACTACGGAGCTAAGGGACCAGAATACAACGCATAGAGTTTCCGCAGCACCCATCTGACAAAACCGCTAACTCTTGTAGGGCAACCTGAATATTATAGGGCTAAGACGGATGGATTCGATGAGACTAGCAACAGAAAGGCATTCATACTAAAATTCGACGACCAAGCCGCGCTTACCCTGACCGAAGATTTTTAGGACTATATTGCCACCCAGAAACGCAGATTGCGAGCGGAGAGTCCGGCCTGGGATGCGTACGAGTGGTTCCAATATCGGCCCTCAGAAAATTTGGCCTTGAGGATTAGGATCCCAAACCGACGGAAAATTATCCTGGCCGAAACCTCCCACGCCGAATGGCTCGTCAAACAAATCAAACAGGAGCATGCCTACATCACCGGAGCTGTCAATGCCCAAAAAGCGCGGTAGCTCCGCATGAGACAGGAGGATCTCAAAAAGGGGGCTCGTATCTGGTGTGGCAAAAGGAAAATACGCTGACATGTCTTCTCGGTCCCCTGTTGGAGTTTGCATGGTCTCAGAAGGATGAGAAACCACATGGGGTGGCTGGATTCTGTCGAGAGCGGTGATGGGATCCGTGTCTGCGGACAAGTCGGACTGTTCGAGCTGGGTTTGTGCCGCGAGAAGTTTGTCGATCCCCTTATCGTACATTCCGGCTGATGGCCAACGTTGCGCCATTTCCTTCAACGCGACCCGCAGGATATTGAATTGAGCAACGGCAGCCAGTTCCAAGCTCTTCGTCTGGCGAGCATGGAGCAGAGCAAGGAGGGCGATGGCGATGTGCCAGCCTGCCATGCCCTGGAGGAATTTCAACGAGCCGCGAGTGAGGAGGTCCTCAAATATGCGAGCTGTGCATGAGGCAGCTAAAATGGCAATAGAATGCGCGGTAGGCACGCTGCGCGATGACTTCTTCATGTGCAGCAGCGTCAGACTGGACAGATACGGCAGATGTAGTTGAGAGATGTCAGGATTAAACCCCTCTGTTGGGTAAGAGGCAAAAGGCAGCTGCAAATTGGACGGCAAGCTGTTCACCCAGACTTTAAGTTCATTCAAGAGGCCGTGGGCTTGACCGTTGGCCTGAGGACTGCGACGAAGCTGATCACCCACCCGGCCTATGATCGAACAGAGACGGACCCATTGTATGAAAATGCTAGCTCGAGGATCAGCAGGATCGGGAAAGTCGTCTGTTGAGGGTGCACGGACGTCGCAATCCTCGGTATTGATGATGGGCGGCCGTCCTTGACAGAGGGACGTGAGTCTTTCTCGCGCCTGTGCCGGTATTTAGCAATGGACAGGGACGGGGTTTCGAGGCTGGGGTTGGCTAACTCACAAACAACGTCCACCAGATCCGACGACGCAGGCCCACAGTCTCACCAGGGCGCATGCGCTGGTCAGGTTTGGGTTCGCGATGAAAGCCCAGTTCTTGTGCTTGACGGATGGCAACCCCCGTCCACCACCAAGATCCATTCATACTAACCACGTTCGGAGGGCAAGTGGTCCACCAATAGAAGAACATGACAGCCACGAGGGTGGCAAGAGGATTTGGCTCCACGCCACGATGCAGCAGGATTCTCGCCTTTTCATAGTGCGATGCCGGGTCATCGATGTGCAGGAGGGAGGGTTGGATAATGGTTCCGACCATCGCCAGGGCCTGCTGGAGCAGCAGCGACCCACTAAATTTAGGGTCCTTCAGTGTGGCTTTGTCCAGGATGGGACAGAAGCAATAGCAGCTTTTGGTAAATGCATCAGCATAAGAGACCTGGAGGGTCAGATTCAGAGGGGAAATAGTGTAGTGAATGTCGATGGTAAGTGGCTCGATCGGGCGGGCATTGGAGGTGGACCGAAGCTGGGTGAACACAGGCATATACCCGGACTCGCCGAGATAGCTCGCTTGACCACAGCTGTCCGGTTGATGACCCGTGTCATAGGTTGCTGTATTCTCCGCAGGGTCATCTGCTGGGTCGTCTGCTTGGTCGTCCCTTTCATCGTCGGCTTCATCGTCTGATTGGTCGTTGGCGCAAACGACCCTGTCTCTACCGGACAGCGCTCCACTGGACCCCGGGGTCGGAGACACAGGATCCTCAGGGAGGGACTTCTGCCGCGCTCCTGCTTGCAAGGTCGTGCTAGAGCACGGATTGGCGGACTGCAAAACTGGCCTGTAGGATTGATTCGCGCTAGAGAGGCGGGCCGGTGGGTAGAGAGGTGTGGGCACCTGACCACCTTGAAGCACGGAGTAGTCAAAGGTCAGGTTGAGATCTTGGTCGAGCGACCGTGGCGAAGGAAGCGGATTGGAGCCCGATTCAGGTTGAGGAGGTTGTTTGTTGGCCAGCGTCCGGCGGCGTGCATTGTGATCATTGCGACGAAGTCTAAACACCAACGGTCACATTGTTGCCCGGTAGTAATACTAAGAGCGCGCGTGGGAGATCCAAGGCTCGAAGGGAACGGAGGAGGAGAGGGCGGAGGGAATCGGAGCACGAACATGCATTCACTGCCAGTACGCGTACAATTCTTGCAGGGTCCTTGGTTCCGAACCCTCGAGTCCAGATCGCATTTGATCTGGTCAAGTTTTCGGCAATAAGTTAGCCCGTCTTCGGCGAACATCAACGGCGAAGAGAAGATGCCGGCGGGTACAGAAACCACCTACCTTTTTCTCATTGCAGCGCAGGCAGACATGACGAGCGCGGCGTCGCACAGTGCCTGATTGTCCTGTGCCTGCGGGCACAGTTGCGGCCTTTACGGCCGGTTGCTGCGAACCCTCAAAGCTGGCATGATCCATGGCAGGGAAGCACTGTCAACCGGGCCGGCATCGACAATACTAACAAGATACATGTACGTGGATTTGTTCGTGTAGCCGTAGACGGCGGGCGCGAGAGCAAGAGAGACACAGACACTGAACCCAGACCCGTGTCAGCGTGCGGCGGGCTTGTGGGGTGGTTATAAACGGCGAGCTCCTCAGGGCTCCTCAGGGCTCCTGGGGGTTCCTCAGGCTTTTATGGAGTGGAGAACCTAACCGGAACCACTGCAAAACTACCTTAGCTTAAGAAGAGAAGCCGCTCTAACTGATTATTTTACTGGCTGGTCCGGGTCTACGAATTGATCGGCGTCACTGCTACAGAAGCTCGCAGGCAGTCGCCTACTTAGGGCTTGAGGAGGGCAGGGATGGCTGATAGGCTATAGGCAGGAACGGCAAACGAAACCCCGTCCTGCCCCGGCCTTACCCAGTATTTCTCCACAGCAAAGATGAGCGGGTTGAAGGCTGGCGAGGCTGGGCCCACTTTTACCTTAAAATATGGGTCGAGATTGCGGTGGTAGGATTCAGCCAGTGACTATTCGTTCTTCGGCGCGATTCCGAGGACCTTGGGAAGGGGGAGCATTTTCAACGGATGGGAGTACTTAGCAAGTAGAATCCAAGACTGGAAGTAGTCGATTGGATGTCGAGTCTGTACTTGTACCGCTCCGGACCCTGTCAAGCCGAGCTCTGCCTGAAACCAAAGGCCTAGTTAGCAGCCTCCATGGGGTTCAACATTTTGCATGTGGACAAAGCAAAAAGCTTTGAGCTCAAGGCCAATGCACGTTGTGGATAGGGTGTCTCGGCAAGCGGGGGTACGAGTGCATCCCATGCAGCTCGTGTAGATGCCGAAGGAGGGGAACCTCGGTTCCAGTAGGCCGGGGATGGCAGATGCCGACTCAACCAGTCCGTGGGTTCAAGATTCTTCGACTAAACCACAGCGGCTTCGCTTGATTGTCCAAGGGCTGGTCCCCAGGACCCGACTCTGGAAGGTATGTGGTCGGCTGTGAAGCACGCGCAACTGATGCTCGGAATTTGTCCCTCGTTGAATTGGTCGTGCGCTGTGGCCTATCACAGCAAATATCATTAAGAGCCGAAAATTGGCTAAAGACCTGACTCGCGGCGACATCGTAAATTGTGGCTTCACGATCTATCTTTTAGGATTGTTCAAATCGTGAAAAGCTTTCTCTTACTTGCATGGTCAGCCTAGAGGAGATCAGCCTTTGTCTGGACAGCCGACGAAACGCATTGCAAATTCTAACATGACAACCAACGACGATACTAAACATCAGCCCAACGATGTTTTTCTGAAGTACGATTTGCCTGGTGATATTCAAATCGGGAGCAACACACAAGGCCCCCATCCGTCGTCAGATGTCCGACCGGTGCATTATCCAAAATGGGACAAGCCATCGCCCAACGGCTACGTGGTGTCGGATCATATGATCAATGAGCCGCCGATAGGCAGGCCGTTCAAGATCATCATGATTGGGGCTGGTGCGGCTGGTATCGATTTCCTCCACCACGCTCCCACGGCTCTGAAAGACCTGGATGTCGAGATTCTGTGCTACGATAAAAATCCCGAAGTAGGGGGAACGTGGTATGAAAACCGGTACCCGGGTTGCGCGTGCGACGTTCCCAGCCTGGGGTACTCCTTTCCATGGCGACCAAACCCCTCCTGGACCACCTTTTACGCGAGTGGCAAGGAGATTTGGGAATATATGAAACAAGTGGTCGACGACGAGGGTATGATGAAATACATTCACCTCAACACGAGCGTATGCGCCGCCGATTGGGACGAGTCGAAAAGTAAGTGGGTGGTAAAGTTGGCAAAGAAGACCTCCTTGCAGGACGAACAGGGGGTCCTACACTGGGAGGAAGAATGTGACATCCTATTGAACGGCACAGGGTTTCTGAAGTGAGTGACAAGGACTCTCCATGCTGCCAGCATGATACTGACACTTACCGACAGCGCGTGGAAGTGGCCTGAAATCCCGGGCATCGAGACTTTCCAAGGCGACCTGTTTCACACGGCACACTATAAGGAGGGCTTTGATCTCAAAGGCAAGCGTGTTGCTGTGATTGGAGCGGGCAGCTCGGGCATCCAGGTCGTGGCATCGATTGTGTCTGAAGTCGATCATCTATACACTTGGATCCGTAGCCCGACGTGGATCACTGCAGCCTTTGGACAAGCTTATGCTGGGGAAAGGGGGGCGAATTTCGCGTGTAAGTACAAACTAAAGGAGCCTAGATCTATGCGATCTAAACCCTCCACTTTCCAGATTCCCCCGCGCAGAAGAAAGCATTCGAAGCCGATCCGGAGATGTATCACCGCTACAAGAAAACAATAGAAAGTGAGCTTAATCAGAGGTTCAGGCTCGTGCTTCGTAATACCCGGGAGTCCGACGAAGCAAATGCGGTACGTTGAGCCTCGATTCCGTCAGCTGAAACGAAGCGACCATGCTGACTGCTTGACCACTGACAGAACGCCTACGCTCAAATGTCTGCTATCCTCAAGTCGAAGCCACATCTGTTAAACGCAATCATTCCATCAGACTTCAACGTCGCATGTCGTCGCCCGACACCGGGGCAAGGCTACCTTGAAGCATTGGTGAATGAAAAGACGACAGTTTTCACGCGGAACATCCAAGCTATTACCCCCGCCGGTGTGGTCGACTCTGAGACAGGGATAGAATACCCTGTCGACGTGATTATCTGTGCCACCGGGTTTGACACGTCATTTCGACCCAGATTCCGTATCACCGGTCTGGATAAGACGACTTCACTGGCAGAGAAATGGGCGAAGCACCCAAGTAGCTACCTAGGTATTGGTGTCGATGGTTTCCCGAATTACCTCCTCTACTCAGGCCCCTACACTCCTGTCGCTCAAGGATCGATCTTACCCATTCTATCCATGTTAACAAACCATTTCCTCGAAATCATCAAGACTATACGCCGACAGCATATTCGGCGACTATCTCCGAAGGAAGAGGCCGTTCGGGACTTCGTTGAGCATGCTAGTACTTTTCTTCCTCGTACCTGCTGGGCGGACCCGTGCCCGAGCTGGTTTAAACAGGGTACGAGAGACGGGCCGTTAGTCATGTGGCCTGGATCTCGAATGTCTTACTTCGAAATTCTTGAGCACCCGCAATTTCAAGACTATGACATTGAATATTGGAACAATAACAATAGATGGGGGTTCATGGGCAACGGCTTTGTCGATTTTGAATTTAAAGGTGGTCGTGACTGCACCTGGTACCTTGACAAGTACTCTGGCAGGGAACAATGGGTGAATGGAGTTTCGATGAAAGAGGACGCTGAAGAGTTCAAAGCTATCTCCCGAGGTGCAGTTCCTGGACAACACCCCAAGGATCCCGGAGATGACGAAGTCATTGGCGTTCACAACGGGTCATAAGCGAAACGAGAGAGTTGGAACGGTGCGGTCGACTTCTGCCACCAATTAGATCGGATAAATGCCATCTTTAAATAATGCAACGCACAGCCTCCTCCGTGTCATCCATATCCATCACTTCTGGACTTGACCACTTCGCGGAGAATTCGTTCAGAGCAAGATAAATCATTCTGACACAAGGTTTGTTTTTGAGAATTATGGTATACCGTGTCAGGGATAGGTAGGTACAGATCTCAGGAGTATTCTTTCTCTACCAAGGGTCGTTCCCCCCTAAAAGCCTCATCGAGTCCTTTGCTGTAGACTCTTTTCTCATGGAGGGGCTGCTTCGTTCCAATACGGTTGATATCCCCCGGTTCTGCAATGCTCCTTGTGAAGCCGGTCTCACGGGCCACTCCCTTTGAGTGATGCCTCTTTACCCACATCCACGAAGATCCAGCACCGTTCTTCATCGATCTGTAGACGCTGCCTGAAAATGATCAACCCTTCACCAGATGAGATTTTGTAGATAGACAAATCGACCCCGGTGAACGATGTAAAGCTCGTGGCACGAACATGTTATCGACATGAGTGCACCCCTGTATCTAGTGATGGCGGAGGATGGACGTTGGCGAAGCCAACGTCCAACGCCACAAGAAACCGACTCACCATGTTATAGGCCGCGCATGTCAGTGTAATTTCGACAATCTCCTGGTCTGTAAGGCCCACTTGTTGCAGATCCTGGAAAAGTAGGTTTGGAACAGTGACATGTCTTGTCATAGCATCACTGTAGAGAAGCACGGCCCTTTGTTTGTCGGTCAAACGCGCCTTGATCCTTAGGCTCAAGCTGTTTCACCACGTCGAATTGTTCCTTTGTAAAGCCTGGAGATGCGGTCAAAATCGGCGCATGATGATCCCACTTAAGCCAAGCACGACTGATGATTGCAGGATGGCAGATGGCAATGTCCCGAAGGTCATCGGAAAGACAGCCCTTTGTCCGTATGGTACCCAGCAAAGAGTTCCAACCTCGAAAGAGGATGTTAGTTAGGAACAAGGCAAATTTTGCTTGCCTAAGCATCTGAGGCTGAGCTCACCTTCTGCAAGTTTTGGTGAATGGAGCAAAGCTAGGTCAAGCGGTAACAGCCCTCCTGGCCTTCTGCGCGCTTGGATCTTCTGGTAAATCTGTGTCACCTCTTTGGAAGCGACTTTGGTGTACAGGGAGCGTATTTTAACCTCATATTTGCATGGACTATTCCGCGCTGATGAGTGAAATTGAATCTCACGGACAGGCCCTTCTAGTAAGTTTATTGATCGACCAGAGAAAGTCGACTCGTCTTTGACCTCTACAAGATTCGCTCTCTGAGCTCCAACAGACGGAACGAGCTCGGGGTCGAAAGCGTCGCCCAGTCGCGAGGCCAAGGCCACAGGCCCACTAGTGTCTTTGTCAACCGAACTCGCCAGCCGTTCCTTGTACCATTAGGTGACTATTCGTTCTGCCGACTCGGCAACTTTTGCTCCAGCCGACTGGCTTAAGAGGCACCATCCTAGCAGACACCTTCCCGGCAACCCACCCCCCACATACTCGGCACTGGAAAGCCGGATCAGAGTGACACGACACCGAGTCGCATAGTTCATGGTGTGCCATCCTTTCTACCTCTTTGGGGTAAAAACCTTCCGCATTCGGTCAGGGCTTGTCAATCGGTCCCAAAGCATTCAAAAGTTGCCGGGGTTCTTGCAAGCTTTTGATGCAGACGTCGCCATCCGTCTTCCCGCAAAGTCTGCGAGTGTCTCCTATTACACGGGTCCTGGTAGTCCAACCACCAAACAAAACTCCGGATCCTAGTTTCTGCATGTGACGGCCAACCTTTTGACTGTCGGAGATCTTGTCTATCCATTGTGTAATGAGTAGACTTGAAGGCAAGATCATCGCTGTGACGGGCGCAGGGGCTGGGTTCGGACGAGCGGTAAGGCGTTTCTGCTCTTCCTTATTATTGACCATGGGTGCCTGGGAGAGATGTTCTTCTAACAACACGACCGCGCTAGATTGTTCAAAAGCTCATCGCTGAGGGAGCCAAGGTCTTGGGGATCGACCTCATCGCTTCAAACAATGAGGAGACCGCATCGTTGTGCCCAAATGGCACGTTCTTTCAATTAACAGCAGATGTGGCGGCAGAGGAAACATGGCAGAATGTGCTGCGTCTTAGCAACGAACACTTTGGTCATGCTCCTACTGTCATCGTCAACTGCGCCGGTGTTGTCCATCTCGGCCAAGAACCCCATTTGGTCTCTGAGTGTGAATTTGACAATGTGTTCAAGGTGAACGTGAAGCCGCTGTATCTCAGCACTAAGGTGATCGTGCCTTTCTGGATCGAGAACAAGATTGAGGGACATTTCATCAATATTGGAAGTATCAGCCAAGCGAGACCCAGACCGACCACTGTTTGGTACGCTGGGAGCAAGGGGGCGGTGACAGCGGTGCGTCCTTCGTACCACTTTCATTCCACACGATAGTCTGCGCCGCCAAAATGGTGAAAAGGGCTTTTGGCAAACCTCTAACACGACAATCAGGTAACTCGAGGCTTAGCTGCAGCATACGCCAAACACCGTATTCGTTTCAACGTGATAAGGCCCTCTATCGGAGAAACGGCAATGTCCGTAATGCAGACAGATCTCTTAAATACAAAAAACTGTGCTGATCTGTCCATAGGCTTCCTCGGGTACAAGGTGGCGAAGACACTCCAGAAGGACGGGCAAAGCGACTAGCCACTCTTCCCTTGGGCCGTCTATGCCAGCCGAGTGATGTTGCCAACATGGTATGCTTCCTTGCATCTAATGAAGCGAGCTATATAACGTGAGTGCCCTTCTATTTCCCATGCGGAATGAGAATGTTCCGAGTTTGTAGAATTTGTCCAGCCTCTCCGTACATGATGGAAATCGGGAGGAGATCCGATGTCACGCTGCCTTGGCCATGCTTTCAATTCTTGGTCCTTGAGTGTGCGGCTGCGAGAACATTTGCTTACCAAGTTCGGATAGTGGCTCAGCATTCAATGTGGATGGAGGTCGGAGCGTCTCCTGACACTACGGACCTTTATAAGCTAAGTGGGCATTTATATGGTGTGGCGAGGCTGAAAATGAAATACATCTTATCCATGCCTTGGTCAACTGCTTCTTTGAGACGTGCGTTAGATCCCTTGTCGGAACCTTAGTGTAAGCATTCGCGTATCCTGATCTCCTCAGAGCTGCTGCTACATCCGATGCTCCTAGAGGCCCGGTGAGTTGCTCCCACCAATCTGCGGCCGTCGTGCATTCCCCGTTGTCGTTATTGACTGCATCGATACCCTGCCACAGATGTAGCAAGACATTCTCAAGGACAGATCGATATGATATAGTCCTGGGACTCGAGCCCATGATAGCCGATGGATGTTACTTTGGCCTATGGCCCGACCGTTCTGGAATCCTCTGGCTCAATCCCGTTATTCTATTTTATCGATCAGTTCCTTGCGTCCTACCCCTTATTGCTGACGACAGCAGTCACCCCCCCATCCACAGTCAGGCTGGTGCCTGTGATATAGCTGGCGGCATCGGACACCAAGAATAGAGTGGCATTTGCAACTTCCATGGCAGTTCCTTGTCGACCCAGAGGTACTCCTTCATCTCGCCTTTTCACCAGCTTCTCATAGTCCCCCGCCTGATACTCGTTTGCCAACCTTTCCACTAATGGGGTACGAATGAGCCCCGGGATGACAGCATTTATTCTAGTTTTCGTCAGTCTCGAGGTCATTCTGCATCCTGATACGGGGAGGTCGGTCATACCGGATGCCTTTGGGCGCATACTGCACGGCAGTACATTTTGCAAAATTCAAAAGTGCGGCCTTCGTCGTCGAATATCCAATGTGCATCTTCCCGATGTATCCTAGACCAGCGATTGAACTCGTCACCGTAATAGCCCCTGCTTGTTGTTTTTCCATAATCGGTATAACTTCGTGGCAGCATAAAAACGTCGAGGTCAAGTTCACCTCCAATTGACTTCGAAACGCCTGTCGAGGCCTGTCAGTAATGAATTCTGGGGATGACGGTCAGGCTCGGCATCGCCATTGAGACAGACCCAGGTAAAAAAAGTGAACAGCACTCTGAATCTGACTTACATCTACTGACATATCTGCTGGGCCTCCAGGACGGGACATCCCAACGTTGTTCACGAGAATGTCAATGCGGCCGAACTTGTCCAGGACCCTTTGTACCACTGCGCTCACTTCGTCCGACTTAGTGACATCCGCCTCGCCAACTTCCACTATAGCATCTTCGTTGTCTTCCAGGATCCTTTGCTTGGTCCTTTCTGCGTCTTTGAGACGGAGGTCACAGCCAAAAACCTTGACCCCATTATTGGCCAGCAGTTTGGCTGTTGCAGCGCCGTTCCCCCATTGGCTGGGGTCAATTGTTTGTTGAGCCTGTCCGATTCCCGTAACCAGTGCTACCTTGTCTTTAAGATCACTATACCAGACGACTTGGTGGCGGCTCCCCGAGGGCAGAGTGTAATGGCGTACATTTAACAGGGTAGACCCAACCAAAGGTCTAAGAGGCAGAATGAAATTGGAACACAGTTTAGGTATCTTACTCAAAGACGCCATTGTTTACTGTCGTTCTGCATACATAAGTGGTTCGCGACGAGAAAGTCATACGAAAACAACAAATCACTACGGGGAACCATTCCGGCATCATTGACCGCAATCCTACCGAGGCGGTGGAATGACACCTGAGTAAACCTTTGCCTTGTGAAAACCGGCAAGACGAACTGGATAGTGGCAAATTGGTCTCGGTAGGGATGTGTTGTGCCCCGGTCGGTAATAGCTTTCATTAACCGAGCATATCTCAGCGAGCCCAAGGCTCTACGCTAGTCTTTGGCACCAGGACGGAAACACAAAGTTCCAATGCTGGCTTGTTAAATTGCTTTAGATTAAGCCATTCGAGTATCGACTGCACTTTCAAGTTTCGTTGGGTACAGCTGACGCTTCGACACAGAATAATCTGGTGGTTCTCATCATGGCCTTGATCGGTGTGCCAGCAGCCGTTGACGACGACGTCGTCGTAAAGGAGCTGATCACCACACCTCCGACAGGGCCAGGTGCCCTTGATTCGTTTCCTACCACCTTCATCCGCGAATTGAAAACGAACGGGACAGCATCTGGTGATGAGCCGACTGATGGTGCAACACCAGCTACGTCCACGAACGGCTTACTCGGTAGCCACTCGGAGACAACGAAGAAGACGAGCCGTGAAAGGCACGTAGTCCCGCTGATGAACATCCCGGGATATAGTGTCCAGCGGAAGTTGCGCGTGATCACGATTGGCGCCGGCTTCTCTGGACTCATGTTCGCCCACAAGATCCGTTATGAACACCCAGAAATGCAGAACATAGTGACAAACACAATCTTTGAAGCACGCTCCGAGGTTGGCGGCACATGGCTGGTAAACACCTATCCAGGTGTTCAGTGCGACGTGCCGTCCCATATATATGCGTTCCCGTTCGACCCGAATCCGAACTGGGACCGTTTCTACTCATCCGGAGCCGAAATCCACGAATATATGGTGAAGACGGTCAAGAAGTGGAACCTTGATCGCGACGTTCAACTCAACACTAAGGTTACCGGAGTCTTCTGGCAGCAAGATCTAGGACAATGGAAGGTAACGGTGGAATGTAACAGTGTACAAAGAGATGAATACGCTGAGATCCTCATTTCAGCCCAAGGCTTTCTGAATGCGTGGGACTGGCCAGATATCTATGGGTTGAGCAAGTTCAAGGGCCACAAAGTGCACTCCGCTAATTGGGATCACTCGTACGATTATTCAAAGAAACGAATCGCGATCATTGGCAACGGATCCTCTGGAATTCAAATTTTACCCAAGCTTGCCCAGCTCGAGGGTACCGATGTGCTCAGCATTCAAAGGGGTCCCAGCTGGATCGTGGCTAGGATGGACCCAGGCAAACTTCTGGGAAAATCCGGCCTGGGCAGCAATCCTGAGTACACCGAAGAAGATAAGAAACTCTTCCGCGAAAATCCTGAGGCGCTTCACCAGTACCGGAAAAAGCTGATACATTCGGTGAATAAAGCGTTTAAAATGGTCAGTCTAATGAGAGCTCTCCGTGGTCTTCCCCTTGAAACGTGCTTACATCCAGACAACAGTTCGTCAAAGGTTCTCCAGAGAATATTGATAATCAAGAGTTTGCGGCACGGCAAATGGCGGAGAAGTTAAACAACGACCCAGGACTGTGCGCAAAGTTGATACCAACATGGGAATTGGGCTGTCGACGAGTAACTCCCGGTTCAGGATATCTTGAATCGTTCCTGCTGCCGAATGTTCACCTCAAACAGACTTCTATTAAAGAGATCACGGAAGACTCAATCGTCACAGCAGATGGCGAAGTCTATCCTGTTGACGTTGGTACGTTCATATATATTCTCTTTTCTTTATTTCTAACGAACTAACTGGGAGAACAGTTGTTTGTGCCACTGGATTTGATGTGTCTCACTGTCCTCATTACCCTGTCATTGGCCGCGACGGGGTCAGTCTGGCCGCTAAATGGGCCGATGAACCAGAGTCATACCTGTCCGTCGCTTGCCCGGACTTTCCCAATTATTTTATCTTCACGGGTCCGAATGCTGTTGTGGGTCACGGCTCATTGATCGAGGGACTAAGTTGGACGGCTGATTATATGATTAAGTGGCTGAAGAAGATAGCTAACGAAGATATCCGGTCGGTTGAGCCGAAGCAAAGTGCTGTGGATGACTTTGTGACGTATGGAGACGAGATCCATAAGACATTGACATGGACTGGCCAGTGTCGGAGTTGGTATAAGAAGAACCGTGTCGATGGGAGGGTCACGGCTACATTTCCTGGGAGCGCATTGCTGTATAAGCGGATGATTTCGGATATCCGAGGAGAAGACTGGAACATTGAATACAACTCTCCGAACCGATTTAGGTTCATGGGCAATGGGTTCACGGAATACGAGCTGGACGAGACGAATGATCTGGCGTGGTATGTAAGCAAGTGACGGTGTACAATGCAGAAGGAATTATAGAGGCTTGTAGGATTTCAGTGGTTCGGCATCTTGATGCTCAAGCATTTCTGACTGAGGAATGCTTGGTCATAGAACGAGGGGATCGGATGGTCATGACTTTGGCTGTTTAGTGAAGGATAGGTCACAAAACTCGAAAAATCGAAATTCACCTTTGGCCGAATGGGCATCCGGGCAGGAGCAGGTACCATGTTTTCTCTCTTCTTCATATCCTGAGATGATCATCGGAAAGTGGCAAACTATCGCTACGAGAACTTCACCACTTTGATCTTCGCTTTGCTGGACTAGACACATCTTGCAGCGCAAGAAATCCTTGCCATCGTTGATGAAGGCAGTTTCTAATCTTGACAGTCTATCGCCGCTAGGTGAACACTATAAACAGAAGCTGCAGCAGCTTTGACTCTCCCTTCCCTGGACCTGAGTGTTTTCCGATCATTGCGTACTTTGTTTTCGAAGCATGTCAGCCACAACATTTCCGATACATAGGGGAGTCGAAATACTGCTAACATCCACACCACTTCTCGGGGAGTTCGCCTCACTTTAGCCCGTCAAACAGGAGCGGTTATGAACTATTCACCGGTCGCCAAGTTCTATCGGATTTCCACCTCGGGCGTGGAGTGGAGATCCGTAGACAGACACCACTGTATGGACTGCACAATCAAAGCTTCCCACCTCTCCGTCGAAGGTAGCTCTGCAAACCTCCGAAAGCCATGCGGTAGTCCTGGAAAGACATGAACCTTGGTGGGTGCCCTGTTCGAGCTATGTGTCAGCGACGAAGAGCTCGGGACCTTAGAAGATGTAGCAATACCCATTCCCTTTCATTCTCTCCGCGTAGTATAGTCCTTGGTCTCTCAACAGGTCCTACCCGGCAATGAGATAACTTGCTTTCGGCATCCCCTTGATCTTTTCATGGGTGTTAAGTGCCACATTCAAATATGGGTCGGTCAAGGCCGCAGCACCCAATAGGTCTGAGAACAGCTTGACAGCCGACCAGGGTAGAATAGGTGCCATTTGGTTCTGTTGAATGAGGATGAATCGTGACTGCAGAATGGACTCGCGGACGGGTGAAGGAGCCATGGGCTGCACAGGACCTGATCTTTGAGCGTGGCCTTTGAGCGTGAGTCCTAGAGATGATTGGCCCGCCATCATCAATTCATGGTGTCTCGTCGCCACCGATGCTGCCAATCCTCCACCTGCCGAAATCCCACCAACAACGACCTGAGAAGGGTCGCCGCCCAACCGAGATATATGAGTTGACAGCCATTCATAAGAGTCCCATGCATCATTGAATTGAGTTGGCCATTGGAACTCGGGCGTGTGTCGATAATTGACATTGACCACGATGACGCCCGGGCTCGGATACGCCGCAATAATTCGCGCACAGCTGGTCTCCTCGGTCTCGAGATTACCAAAAAGATGGCCTCCACCATGGGAATAGAGATACACAGGAAGTAGTCAGTCTGCAACCTCACATTTAGGCTTGTACACCCGAGTCACCATATCGTGGCAATCTCTCGTCAAAATAGAGTAGTCTTACCAAATTACCTTCTCCAGAAGCCCTGTTCCATCCGGAAGTCTCTTCCATCAGCGAAATTCTCTAAATCCCAGACGGCTCACTGAACCACTGACCCAAAGTCTTGAGGTTAGACTGTGCCGCTTCAACACGAGTCGCGTTTGTCAAAGACCGAAACTCCTGGGGGTGACGCTCGGCTGCGGCGGCGGGACAAAGCCAGTCTTTCGGACCAAATTTTCCCACTCTGCAACAGGACCCTGGCAATGCGAAAAGTTCGCCATGCTATCGCGATGTCTTCCCAGATGATGACGGCCAAGTTTCCGTTGCCTTTACGAGAAATCGAAGGAAGGAGTTGGGTAATGTGTGCTTGACACGCGAGCAATAAGGAGAGTTTTTTGAAGTGGCGCTATCGGGAGCAAAGCGCAACACTGGCAAATGGATGAGCCCTTCTCAGTTCGAGTTGGGGCTTCCAGAACAAAGCGGCGACGGCCTATCCACCTGCTCTTCTCAATATCCTTGTTCGCTCAGTCTTTGACGGCACAATATGTTGTGCTTCTACAAGAGTATATTGGTACGTCTGCACAATTCGACCAACAATTCTGGTGGAATATCTTTGGAAAGTCATAGTGCATCCTAAGCTCGATCGAGTCAGATGCCGGATTGGCAGCCCGCTTGGGGGCAGTGGACGGCAACCTCAAGTATAATCAAAGTGCACATCACAGACCGAGCGTGATCATGGTCTCCACAGCCGAAAAGCGTCGTGCTGCACCTGAACACCGAGACTTTCGCTTACACTGCAGGTGACCCCAAGCCGATCCTCGCTTCCTCGGCAAACCCAGTCGACCGAAGTAAGGGGTATTCAGTGATGTGACCGAGCCAGACCATTCGAAGAGGCATTTCATATCCGCCCCTGCTACGTGGCCAGTGTTCATGGACCTCCGGTCTCTTCTGCGCATATCTAACTTACGATTCAGGACTGCCAAAACACTAGACCAGCAGGGTTGTTGACAATGGCGCCGCAACCCGAGTTCCGGATTCCAGGCGGTTCAGCAGCCTCGGTCAAGATAATTGACACAACGAGTCTGATCAGCAAAGTTAATTTTGTTCACACACTTGGCCCTGCGATCGAGGGAGTGCCTTATGTCCCTGATTGTCCTGTCTGGTCTTTCCTGATCGAGAATGCAGAAGGACGAAAAGCTCTCTTCGATCTTGGGACCCGGAAGGACTGGAAGAACCTGGCCCCAATCGTTTCCAATCGGCTCATCAAGATGGGCTGGGAAATCACAGTCGAGAAGAACATTACCGAAATTTTGGAGGAAAACGGTTTCAGCCTAGAGGGCTTCGAGGCAGTGATCTGGAGGTAAGCGCAATGCTGTCATGCACTGATGAAATCGTCACGCTTTGCGGACAAGTGGGCTAATCGCGCGATTATGCAGCCATTATCATTGGGATCATATCGGAAATCCAGCACTTTTCCCCAAGAATGTTGCATTGGTCGTTGGACCTGGCTTCAATGATGAATTTATGCCTGGCTATCCCGCAAGAGAGGACTCCATCCTTCTAGAAAGTGACTACGAGTTGAGTACTGCTGCATCTATCGGTCTGGTGACAAGAATACTGACTTTGCTTTACCTAGGGGGAGGAAATTGATTGAGATTGACTTTCAAGGGCCACGCTCGTCAAAGATCGGTCAGATGGATGCTTACGATTTCTTCGGCGATGGTTCCTTCTACCTCTTGGATGCCCCTGGTCACACGGTCGCCCACATATGTGGCCTTGTCCGCACAAGCTGCAATCCGGACACGTTTATACTAATGGGTGCCGACTCGGTCCATGACGGAGGAGAGCTTCGTCCGTCCCAATTTCTGCCAATTCCAGAAAACATCAATCTACGGCAATTCCTTCCCGCTAGTATTCAGAACACCATATGCCCCGGTCACGTACTCGAAGATATTCAACGGTCACGTGGTCGACAAGCGAATGAGCCGTTCTTTACCGGCAATATTGCATACGATCTTCCGGCACTGATACAAACGATAGAAAAGTTGCAGCACGCAGACGCTCAGAAAGATGTCTTCTTTATTTACGCCCACGACCGGACGATAATGGATGTGGTAGACTTCTTTCCGAGGCAGGTAAACGATTGGAAGTCCAAAGGATGGGCTGAGCAGGTCAAATGGGCTTTCTTGAAGGAATATTGGCAGGGCTTGAAGTTGGATAAACTCAAAGCTTCGTGATTAAAAGCTAAATTGAGAGCGGAGAGCATAAAATGTCCCAGGAAGTGCATTCTACCTCGATGTCTGGTCAGGCTTGTGCAGCACTGCCTCGCGCAGCAACGTCTCGAGATAAATACTATTAAGATTATCAAAATGCTGCGGCTAGCGCCCTTACCTACTGGGATTTTAAATGCTCGGTGGTATTTCATGGTCGTATGGCTCTAGGTCCTCTAGATCTTACAATCAAGAAGGTTAGCGCACTCCCGGGAAGAGGCGTTTGAGATTCCGTACGAGGGTTTTCACCCTCTACTAGACCATCAGATCACGACAGTGCATGACGGAATTTGTTGTACGGAATTGAGCTTGCTGCCTTTTGCATTTTGCCCGCCGGAGTCCTTTCGTCGATGTCATCTAGACCGAGATCCATATAGCCAGCGGGTGATAACTGGTGAGGCACTATCGCGAGACACCTGCCTATGATAATAGTTAGAAAGGTTGGATTACAGTCCTAGGCTTCTACCTACCATTCATCGACGCGTCCGTCGCGATGCGTAGAACTGCAGTCACGGAGTCTTGGATCGAGGCGAGGTCGAGATCCATATTCCGAAGTTCGGTCTGAATCATCTCCAGGAAATCCTCACTCATCATTGGAGTCGCAATGAACCTAGCCGAATAAGATACAACGCAATGATAACGAGGAGTTCAGGGGCGTAGTCACCAGGGGGCAATTGCATTTACTCTGAAGACACCTTTCCGCCGTAAGCAGCACATCAAACCTCTCACACCGAACTTAGCGGCAGCATACACAGCAGAGCTCTGTGTGTCAATGTATCCCATGATACTGCTAACGAGAATGAGGCACCCGTCGACAGGATTGTCAAGATGGCGGCGAAAGTACCATCCGGCTAGTTTCGTGGTATACAGAACGCCCTTTACGTTGACATCGATCATTTCGGTCATTGGTTCTTGTGGTGTGGGGTCGTCGAGGCCTTGACATTGAACAACGTATGAGTTTAGGTCACGATTTCTGGTTCCAGATTTCATCAGAAGACAGAACGCACCTGTCAAGACATCGGGCCCGGCAACACCGGCATTGGCAATCACCACGTCTATTCCATTGTTTGGAGACATTTGAGACGCAATCTCGAACACGGCCAATTGATCGCCCCAAATGGTCACGTCACACTTTACGAAGACCGCCCTGATTCATCAGCATATCACAAGGTGCAGGGTCGGGGAAGCTGGAAGATGCCAACGTACTCGGTCTCCCTGAATGGACTTGGAGGTGGCTGAATGTCGGCTATCACCACAAATGCTCTGATGTCGGTTAGTGAAAACAAGCTTGTAGCGCCTGGAACCGCGTCTCACCCTGCTTGAACGAACGCTTTGGCATAAGCAAAGCCCAGTCCACTACTGCCTGTCATCGTACCATGAGAAAAAGTTGGCTACCGGGTTTCGTCGGACAAACCTCCTGTGATTACGGCGGTCTTGCCCTTGAGGGCGCCGGAATCCACCTGAAGCTGGCAATCCACCGGGTCCCGTGGTTTATAGAACGGAGGTGGCATCTCGACGGCTGTTGAGTCTGGACGTGGTCTATAGCCTTGTGACGATCGAAATAATGAGATATTGTGATTCGCGATATAGAGGTGAGGTCTCCTCAGCGTTCTCAAATATCGAGAAAGAAAAGCATGGTGGCCGCCAAGTTCGGGGGTTCAAAAGGGTGCGCCGGTTAACCCGCACCAGTCAACTAGAACTCATTGCAGCGTCATACCGCGCCAAGTTTCCAGGTCGCGGCTGGAAACTATCGGCAAGTTAACCGCTACCTAGAAGCAGTGCGTACCAACAACACCACCTTCGAAGCATCTGGTGCCGAAATGGCTAGAAACCGCTGAGCCGGAGGACCGAGTTGTTGGTCAACTTCTAACCACCTAGGGTAGGTTTGGAGATCACGTGACGACTATTCACAACTCTACCTCGCCACAAAGGTTCTCTACCACTAGATAGATTTCTCTTCTCTCTTCAATCGATCAAGTTATCATGGACCTTCGTCCAACACGAGTGCTCCATGTCCCCTGTCCATTTCGATCTATCCTAGCACCCGTGGAACAACTCACGAAGCAAAACAAATTGTCAAAGCTTTTATGGCCAGCGAGTGTACTGCCCAGAACTGAATTCTCTGGAGATCAGCACCTTTCTGTATATCTCCTACAACAGCCCTCGTGTAGTTGCAGCAGCAGCTCTTGACTGCTACCTTCCATGCCGGGCCAGTAACATGGTTCGGATCCGTCTAGGCTTTATCGGCCTCACTGCCACTCCGACCAGCTGGGCGCCCCGCGCTCATCTGCCATACCTTGTAAGATCGCCATATTACGAGATCTATGGTATATACAATCGAACCAAAGAGACTGCGAAGGCTGCTATTAAAGCACATAATCTCTCGCCATCAATTCGCATTTTCTCGTCGCTCGATGAGTTAACTGCCGACCCTAACGTCGACCTGGTGGTTGTCTGCACGCGCGTGGACACACATTACCAGCTCGCAAGACCTGTCATAGAAGCGGGCAAGAATATCTTCGTGGAATGGCCATTGGGAACTAATCTCGAGCAAGCTCTTGATCTTGTCAGTCTCGCTAAAGTCAAAGGGGTCGCAACCATGATTGGTCTGCAGGGTAGAATGAGTCTCGCCATCCGCAAAATAAAAGATCTGGTCGAGTCCGGCACCCTCGGGACCATTTTCAGCGTCTCTATATGTGGTGTCGCCACAAATTTAAACGTCAGTATGCCAGAGAAGTATGCCTACTTTGCAGACAAGCGAAGCGGCGGCAACATTTTGACCATCCGATCGTTGCATATCTTGGACACCATGTTCTACGTCCACGGTGAACCCACCCACATTCAGTCGCAGGTGGACAATCTTATGCCATATATACAGGTGCAGCACAGCGATGGACGGATTGAACATCTAGAGAAAGATACGCCGGACCAGATTGCGATTTCTGGTCGGCTAAAGGCTAGTTCAGCAGGCGAGCTAGATCCTAGTTTCGTGTTCCACATGCGTGCCGGAAGGCCGTTCAAGGATCAACCGGAGCTGATATGGCATGTTTACGGCGAGAAGGGTCAATTGGAGATTACCTGCGAGAGTGCAGGTCTCCAGATGGGCTATCCGCTCACAGTCAAGAAGTACGATCATGCCACCGAGTCGGTGGAACTCATTGTCAAGAGTTCGCAGCTTGATGATGGCTTCTGGGCTGACCTTCCGAGACCGGCTAGGAATGTAGGGAGGCTGTATGAGGCATACGCTTTGAGTCGGCCGTACGGGGACTGGGACCTGGCTCTCCAGCGTCACAAGTTGCTTGATAACATTCAAAGGACTGAAGTCAAGTATAGAGACCGAGGTTCTCGGACTGCATGATATCCCTCTCGGCGGGCGATGATTTTGTACTGGCAAGATTCGAAGTTCCGCAAAACTGAAGATATATCCACGTTTGCAGAACAGAGGATCGTGCCACCACATATAGCAGCCCACCACCTCTCCGCAGCATCGCTGGTTAGGGAGGTGCAGTTGCTGGGCGTTGGAAACCCTTGCACAAGCATGGTCAAGACAATCTCTTTCAGGTAAGGCCCAACTAGAGCAAGGTCTGCATTGCAGTTATTGAGATATACAAAGAATCCTCAAATAGTCCCAACTTCGCAACGCTGCTAAATGCCATGACATTTCTTTGGCATTGGTGCATAATCTTCGCGATAGAATCTGCAAGGTACTTGATCAGAAAAGAAAGATACATTCCCGGCTACTTCAGTCAGTTACATACGCATTACAAAGGCTTGATGGAGCTTGGTTCTCCTCCGAGCAATAGGTCGCTCAAAGGATTTCTTTGAAATGCAATCGAGTCACGTTCAGGTCAGAGTCCCTTCGAATCGAAGACCCAGATTAACCGGTAAGTTTTTGTATAACGGTCTGCTGATCCTCTGGAAGAGCCATTACCGGGAAAACATTAATCGGTTTCATACAGCCTCGGACGTAAGAGTACGCTGCGACTGCCGGGCCAATATTTCGGGAGAGGTGCTGTTCGCGGCGCATGGTTGCCGAGGTCGCCGAGATCCTTGCTCACTCGTGTTTGAGATTCTGCACATCTCGGCTCCAGAAGAGCCAACAATGTGCTTCGGTGATCAAAAACATGCAGGGCTCCTGCTGCTTGACAGACTATGAAGTGGCATCGCGACTCCATGATCGCCTGCTAACTTTGACCACTATTGCACGCTCAAATTCAGCTATACTGACATGCGCAGAGATATTGGAGAGGCCCAAGAGGCCCATATTCCACATGATGGCAATAACGTTGACAAGAGACTTATGAATGGCGCGAATTCCATGATTGGCGTCCATGGCTTCATGTCTTCGTCGTCGAAAGACGAGCACGTTGACGTTTTGATAATTGGTGCTGGGTTTGCTGGCGTGTACCTACTCTACCAACTGCGGGGAAGGGGCTTCGCTGTGAAAGTTGTGGAAGCGGGATCAGACCTTGGCGGCGTCTGGCATTGGAACCGCTACCCAGGTGCTCGAGTTGATTCGCAATACCCCGTGTATTGCTACTCGTTGCCTGAAGTTTACGAGGATTGGAGCTGGACCACCGAGTTTCCAGATTGGGAGGAGTTACAGCGGTACTTTCAACATGTCGACAAGAAACTCAGTATCAAAAAGGACACCGTCTTCAAGACGAAAGTGATCTCTGCTGATTTCGATGCCACGACAGATGTGTGGACCATCAAGTGCGACACAGGAAAGATATATTATTCACAATACTTGATCGCAAGTACTGGGTTTGCAGCAAAACGTTACATCCCCGACTACGATGGCCTTGACAGTTTCAAAGGCATCATGCACCACAGCTCCTTCTGGCCTACCGAGCCTATAAATGTTAGAGGACGGCGGGTGGGTGTGTTAGGTTCTGGATCGACGGGCATTCAGATCGCTCAAGAGTGGGCAAAGGAAATTGGTGAAACTGGCGATCTCAAACTCTTCCAGCGGACTCCTAATTTATGTTGTCCGATGAGGCAGAAGCCCTTAACTCCGGAACAGCAGAAAGAGGATAAGACGAAATACCGAGAGTGGTTCAATCAAAGGTGGAATAACTATGGCGGTTTCTTATACCAATATAGGGATTCCTTGACATTTGACCAAACCCCAGAGCAAAGACGGGCTTTGTACGAGGAATTGTGGATGATGGTATAACAACCCGGACCTCGATATCCATTCGAATCTACTGACACTGGTAAACTCTTATAGGGAGGTTTTCGCTTCCTCATGAATAACTACTTCGATATGACGAGAGACGTCAAGGCCAACCGAGAAGCCTATAATTTCTGGCGAGACAAGGTTCGTCTTCGTATTAAAGATCCAGCAAAAGCCGACCTACTAGCGCCGATGGAACCACCGCATCCCTTCGGTGCCAAGCGCGTCGCGCTCGAACAGGGGTTTTATGATGAGTTCAACAAGCCCAACGTCAACGTGTTCGATATCAAGACATATCCTATTATCCGGTTTGAACCCGAAGGAATTCGTACTAGTGATGGAACCCTCCATAAACTTGATGTCATCGCAATAGCCACTGGCTTTGACTCTATCACGGGTGGTTTGAAGGATATATCTATCAAAGGGCTCGACGGGGAACTTTTATCGTCCAAATGGGCTAAAGGGACTTGGACATATCTCGGAATGGCAACGGCACGATTCCCCAATTTCTTCTTCACATACGGTCCGCAGGCACCTACGGCGTTCAGTAACGGTCCAGCTTGCATCGAGCTACAAGCAGACTGGCTCGTGGACTTACTGGTACACATGCGCGAGATGGGGTATCGACGGGTGGACGCCCAGAATGATGCCGAGCAGCAATGGAGAAGTACTGTCAACGACTTGAGCGCCAGGGGTCTACGCCATACCACCGATTCATGGTACAACGGATCCAACATCCCCGGAAAGCCAAGAGAGCCCCTCAACTATGCAGGAGGCCTTCCATTGTACCGGAAGACACTTACCGACGTCAAAGACCATAATTATAAGGGCTTTGAGCTGCAGTAGTTGGAATTTTGAAGACACTTCAATTTCTACCTTCCGCGTTTGTCAGACAGGGCCGTGGGGCGCTAGAAATATCATCTGCGTTACGAGAAGTTGGCATCGTCATCAGATTCTTGTGATATCTTTTCGACATGGATACCCAGTACAAGTGGCCTTCTTCCAGCCTCGCCCTAGATAAATGGCTGGAAGATTTCTTCCTTCCTAAGGCCATTCTCAACTTTAACTTTGACAGAGATTCTGTTGACAGGGTCGCGAGAGCGCCTCTCCTGCGGGAAGTGTGCAAGTAATAAGAATGCACTCCCCGAGTCGCATCTATGCTTGGCTAGTGTTGCCTGATTATTCTTCGATGTATCAGGCGTCCGTCCTTCCGATGTTTAGCCGAATCTATCACATGACTATGTCACCTGACGCACGTACTAGTCGGGATTGGGACCAGCCCAATCCTCGCCCCTCTCTTTCCTCTCTTTAGATGGTTCGAGTTCCTCTAACTCTCTTTCGGTTGGAGGACAGATAGAAAAAAAAGGCCTATTGCCACCAACTAAACTGGTCATTGCGACCTCTTCCCGCGCGGCTAGCTAGATTATGACAGAATCCGTAAGACTCACACGGCCGAAGCAGTTAGGTTTGCCATGACTAAACAACGTAATGTTCTATGTGGGTCGACACCATTTTGGGAGCGGCATTGAATTAGCCCCATATTTTTGTTCGACTAGCCTGAATAGACTATTTAATGGACCTTTTGGACACTGCAACACTCGTTTGTTTTTAAGAATCTTCGATCACAGTGTAAGAGAAGGCGATTCGGAGTAGACGGATCGATGAAAGTATCTAATAGTAATATCCTTTGTATACTCAGCGTATTCACAGAGACTCAAAGCCTTAAAGAGGCTTTGGGCAGAAAAGGGGAGAGGGTACGGCTCTTATACGTTCCTCCCCCGTTTAGTGTCTTGACCCCTTTGCTGTTGTAATGGGAGAAGTTAGAAGTGGTGGACAGAGTTATGATTGGCTGGGGCGCCGACCCTAGACTATGGTTCTTCTTATATAGTTCTGAGGGACTATCTTTCATAGAAAACATAAGCAACCAAGTTACCAACAGAGAGAACTTCCCCTAGTTGAGTGTGCGCGTTGAGAAGAGACCATACCCACCGCCGTACGAGTTAATGCCCATGGCTAGTAGTCTCGCCCCAGTTTAATGGTGCCACCAACAAGATCTTCGGCGAATACTTACAGATGGGTGTCTCTCTACGAGCGGTGGGAGAAAATTACGAAAAACAACTAAACTAAACTGCTTACTGGACTAACAGAACTAAAGAATTGCCTACCTACCTATCTAACTGAATCTAGAGAAACTAGCCATACATATAGAACCGCTGCGCAGGGTGTACTATTTAGATCACTAACTGAGTAAGTCTATCCCGCTATACGGAGCGATTTACGCTGGCTATTCATAGAGACCGCTGCTCGGGGTGCCTTTTAGAATTACTAGCTATGTATATTTACTATCACTATATGGGGTGAAGACCAACGACTTAACGACTATTTAGACTACCTAGAAGAAATGGGAGAGAAGTATCTCCTAGAAATATAGGAATACGTTTAACCCTAAAAACTCCTAACTTAAGAAGCTTAGGAGGAGTCGAAGAACGCGAATCTACTTAAGAAATAATAAAAATAAGCGGTTAGACTAAACTCGCTAAAATAAGCGAAGTTAAAGCGCTACTAATCGAGAAGTAAATCTAGAATTTTAATAAAAATTATTAGTAAAGATAAGAAAGAAGCTCGACGAGAAAGTCGATGAAGAGATAAAGAGAAGAAGAGAAGAAATAATAATAAAATAATAATAAAATAATAATAAAATAATAATAAAAGTACTAAAAATAATAAAATATCTAGATCTTTTAGTTTCGTCATTAAGATTTTACACTATTTCGATTATAAGAGAAGAAGTGAGAACGATTTAATAAAGGAAAATATCGTCTACGGAAGAATCGAATAGTAAAGAAAAGCTAGGGCCTTCTACGATATCGAGTATTAATTTATAAGATCTATCGACGCTAAATTCGACGATATAATCGTTATACGTCTCTTCTACCGTAATATTAATAAGGAAAATATTTTAGAGCTTAAATAAGAGTAATAATCTTCTATACTTTAATAGAAAGAACGCTATCTCTTTCTTCGAGAAGTTTAAAGAACTATATAAATATAACTAGATTATATTAAGTAAAGAACGTATTTATAGATCTATTCGCTTTATATTTAAAGTAGAGAAAGAACGCTATAAAGAGCTCGCTAAGTATAACGTAATAAAGTAGAAAAAGTTTAAAGAGAAGATC